AAAACCCTCGGCGAATTACATAATCCAAAAGGAACTTTCAAGAATTGACCATTCGGAGTGACAAACGCCGTATATTTTCGACTCTCTTTTTCTATGGATACATGAAAAAATCATTTTTCAGGTCTAACGTACTAAACACACAGCATCCTCTAATTTATCTAGTAGATCTTCGATTAGTGGTAAGGGATGACCATTCTTTTCTATGACTCGATTTAACTTCCTATAATCAATACATACATGCGGTAATCCGTCTTTCTTTCTTACAACGACTAATGGACTCGCGTATTCCGACGTACACTTCTCAATGACCCCATTTAGCCATTCCGCTATTTGTTTCAATTATTTCGCGCTCAGGTGCCGGTAACCGTCGCAGTTTTTGAAAGATACGCCTTTTGTATTTTGGTACAATAAGCATGCTCATGTCCGTTGTCTTTATGTTCTAACATTTATTTACTTGATACGTTTCAACAATTGTCTCTATTTTTTCGCGTACTTTCGGATCCGTCACGTTACCAATGTCGATTGCTTTTTGATTTGTGTTAATTGAGCAGGTGTTGCTCTTCGTATAGTTATTCCGTCATTATTGACGGTCATTTCCGTCATCGCTAGGAAATCGCTATCAATTATGACGCTTGAATTTGTAGCTTCATTTGGTACAACGTGCACTATACACGGATATTCATCAGCATCTACTTCTACAATTGTATTTACGCCTAATGAATGCACTTCGTTTTTTCCTAAACCGATTAAACAGATATTTCCCCGTAGCTTATCTAATTTCATTTTATCGTAGACATCTTTGCGCATTACCATGATTTGACTGCCGATATCAATTAACGCATTAACCCGTTTATCGGTATTTGTTTAAACATTCTACCGCTCGATGAATCAGTAACCATATTAATTACCGCCGTCTTTTTATCCATTACCGCTTCACTATCGTCTGACGCGTTACACAGATTTGCCATATGCCCGTATTCTTGACACTTAAAACATTTTTTACCTAATTCTTTCTTCTTACAGTCTTTAGATTTATGTCTTTTACTGCCGCAATTGTAGCACCGCACATCTGTCTCCTGTTCCTTTTCGCTACTTTTTAGTATTGTTGATTTCTTCGCTTCCTCTATTTTCTTCGGCATGCTGTTCTTCTCTCTCATCCTCTCATCCTCTCAGTATTCTTCTTCCGAATTGCTTCGTATACTTTTACTTCTCCTTGAATTCTGTCAATTTTTTAGCTCCGTACAATATCATCTTGCCCTGTGCGTCTTCCGGAATTCCATCAATCACGTATTTCATAAGTGCTTCTGCTTCTATTTTATCTCTAGCAGCTATTTTTTTCATCGCATAATAATATTCCTGCAAGATTTCATCCCTCTTCAGTCTTCTTCTGATCAGCATATCGTGTATTTGAGCACTGTTTATTTTGTCTATAAATTCGTCTCGTAAAATTTCTTTTAATTTCTTCTACGACTTGATAACGCCTTCGCTGTCGATGAGTATTTTAGCAGGTCCGGCTAGTGATTTCTTTGCGAACACTAACTTCTGTAATTCCGACCATTTGAACAGATTAGCCGCATCTTCAAATTCCGATATCCATTTTTCAACCGGATATGTATCTTTTCCAATGAAAGTTTTAATTGAATCTTGCACGTCTCGGTATGTCATGGAGAATTTCGTGTTCACTTGACCGCCTCTGGTGGAGTGGTTCTCTTCGAGGTTATTTTCACCCTCTTCGTTGCTTCTTTCTTCCTCTCTTTCGTCGTCTTGCTCATCAACTGTTCCTCGTCACTCGCATTTTCGTCTTGTTCACTATCTTTAAGCGTGAGAGTATCTAAATCCATTAAACCATGTAATATGCGTGTCATTATCTCTTCTCTGTTTCCGTCGTACTCTAAACCGAGAATGTAATAGCAGGATATCAGGTCACCGATTGAAAGTTTTCGCGCTGCTTCTATTTTATCCACGTATCCCGTTGTGTGTTTTTTAAAAGTAAAACCCTCAAAGTCTCTGAGTCTTTGTCTATTTCTTCGATCACCTTCCTTTTCGAAAATAAACTTATGTAGCCGTCACGGCAACGGTCGACGCTGTGTGTATTTTCTGCTTGATTAGTTCAATTTGCGTGAGGTTATTCATCTTGTCTCTGCACACTTTACGCAATGTGGCAAATGTTTACCGTCGCGCGCTCACTGTTGTTGCACCATCTTGTTCGCGTACACTTAAGATTACCGTTTCACGTTCACTTACATCGTGCAGTCCTGCTATCACTTTCGATGTCGTTACCAGCGCTACTGTCGCGCTTACCCGCGTCGTATTGTCACTGCCCTCTCGATGTTGGTACTGTTACCGATGCATTCACAGTCTTGCCAATGTATTTCTGATCATCGCTGCGTCACCTTGTAGTTGCACACTCAATGCCTTTCGGGTTCTTAACGTCTTTGAGATTTGAATGTAGTCTTCTTTTCTTTTTTTCTTTTTCTCATCGTCGTGTCTTCTTCGTCTTGTGCCTTTTCGTCCTTCCGTCTCTTCGTCTTTTCCTTCGTCCTGTCTCCCGTCTTGCGTCTTTTCGTCTTGTTTCTTCTTCGTCTTTTCGTATTTAGTCTTTTCGTCTTTTTCATCTCTTCGTCTTTTCTTTCGTCCTGTCTCTCGTCTTATTGTCTTTTATCTTGCATCTTTTCCGTCTTGTTTCTTTTTCGTCTTTAATCTTTTCATCTTTTTCGTCTCTTCGTCTTTTCTTTCGTCTTTTCTTTCTCCCATCTTATCGTCTTTCGTCCTGCGTCTTTTCCGTCTTGTTTCTTTTTCGTCTTTTCGTCTTTTTTCCCCTTTTGTCTCTCACCAGCTCTTATCTTGGACGAGCCCCAAATTTGTAGGAAATAAAATGATTCCAATGATGGAATGTTTGGTGAGCCAATATTTATGGACAACAATTTAGGAGAGATACACTAATCGCACTTCACGCTTTGCCACACACATATTCCGCCATCTTCTAATTCTGCTCTTACTCTACTTTCCTTTACCTTTTCCTTCTTACGCAAGCATGCTGATATTCTAGCGCATATCGTCATAGTCGGAAACGCGCGAACAAAATAAAAATTTATAAACGAAATATATACAGGGTGCGTCACCAAAATCCGGACAAATTTCAAATCAAATTTTCCGTTATACTGTGCCTCCGCCAGAGATTGTTATTGGCGTCCAAGAAAGCCTGATGCTTCTAGTAAACAGTCATATTCTCAAAATGGCCGCGATGTTGAAACTAAGTGCGGAGTATAATCGAAGAGCCGCGATCATCGAAGACCTTCGCGCCGGGCGCTCAGCAACGGAAATAATTCGGTTCTTTGGATACCCGAGATCCACTGTTTATGACGTTGTGGCAAAATATACGGCTTTAGAACAGTCCAACGAAGGTTCCAGTATACCAGCGAGGAAGAGTCACTCGAAAGAACGCACCGCGAGGATTCCTGCAGTCGTTGAAAGGGCTCAAACGCTGATTTCGGATAACCCAATCGTTGCGAAAATTAGCATCGATTGTTGGTGTAAGCGAGCCAACAATGCGTCGAATTGCCGAGGAGGACTTTATACAAATCGTATACATTAAAAAGGCTCTCTGAGGCTGCCACGACAAGGAATTGTTCGATTTGTCCGGATTTTGGTGACGCACCCTATACTCTTCTACAATACTAGTATTCTATCTTTACACTTTATGTGTCTCATGTTTTTATCATTTATGCGTATTACTATTATGTATTTCTATTCTTTTGATTTACACTTTATAAAGGGTGTCTCAAAATGACCTGACATTTTAATGTATTAATAAAACATTATTTATTTGAAAAGTACACATGTTTTTAGTTTAATATAAAGTACAAACATGGAGGTTATATGTGGAACACAATATCCGATAAATGGCCGCCTCGACTCTGTTTGCAAACGTTCATTCTTTTGACAAAATTTTCAATGACATTTTGGCATAATTGCGGACTAATTTCATTAATTACGTCTAATTTCTTCCTTCAACTCCGGAATGGTCTGTGGATCATTGGCATACACTTTTCCTTTCAGAAAACCCCAAAGAAAGAAGTCCAATGGCATCAAATCGCACGATCTTGGTGGCCAATTCACATCGCCGCGGCGCGAAATAACACGACCATGAAACTTCGTCGTAATGGATTTTCACAATTTCTATGCGTTGCTCGATCGTGTAATTCTCCATGACTAAACCTCAATACTTCCTGATGCCAGTTGTTAAAAGTTAGTACGTTACGTTCGCTGCAAAAAAAATGGCGCGCAATTTAAAATGTCAGATCATTTTGAGACACCCTTTATATGTTTCTTTACATGTATATAAGTATTACTATTATGTATTACTACATATGTATGTATTCTGCTTCATACATAAATGCTTAATAATTATGTATTTTGTATATTCCAAAACAAAGATGATGATGAATGGGGACTAATAAAAAAAATATACGTTTATATACTTATATTGATATATATTTTTATATTTAAAAAAAATACACGAATCAAAATTTTATCAAATGACATTGTTTTTGTGTATCCATGAATTGTGCGATTCATCGAATCACTTGACGTACACCTTGTCTCCCTTCCTGCGCAGTACTTTCTCCACGAGATACACGTCCGAATGAGTAGCGCGATGCTAACTCGTGCTCGCATCAGCGACAGATTTTCCGCGATAGTCCTCGAGTAGATAGGTTACGGGATTGGTAATATCACATTATTGACTGCATCTTAACGATTGTAAACACTTCGGTGGTCCAATTTGGCGTATAACTCTTCTCAAAAATCGTCTTGTACTTGCTCACGCATATCGAATCGCCCACTTTGAATTTGCTGGACCAGCGATTTTTATCACGCTGTACACCGTATCCAAGAGTCTTTCAGCGATCGCGGAAGTTACGTTGACGGACCGCATGCCGATAATGCAATGCTTGCGCGCATTGTAATCTGATACGAGACGTGGCAGCCCGTCGATTCACTTATAATTGCCGTTGAGTGTAAACATCTTCCACATGTCGTTTTTGAGCGTGCGATTGAACTGCTCCACTATTTGTTTTCAACGTCGAATAAGTGGAATAGTGATTAACGTCGTGTTTTTTCAAGATTTTCTGCATATCGGCGTTGTAAAACTCCTTCCCCATATCCATTTGTAAATTTTTAGGACATCTTCCACTCGTTTGAATTATCTCAACAATAGCATCAGCCTCGCTTCCATCCTTGCTCTTGAGCGGTACGGCCCATGCGTACTTGCTCAACACATCGATGACAGTGAGTATGTAGTGGTGGCCTCTGTTGAAGCTCGAGTAGCTCGAGAAGCGACGCATCTCGACGATATCAGTCTGCCATAAATCGTCGTATCCTCGAACAATGACGCGTCTTCGTGGAAAATTTCTTCTCGACGGAGCGTGCAATTCCTCGACGAGTCGACGTCTCTCGGAGCTAATTTTTCTCTTTTCACTGGATCTCTTTTTCATGATTCGACGCATAATACAAAGGACAAAAGTATTTTTTTGGCTGACGCCATTCGACTGACTCGTTTCACGATTTAATTTATAATAAGACCTTCGCGAAGTTCCTCGATAATCGACAGCATCTCATTGTCGTGAGCGTTATTGCTCGCTTAGCGAAGCGTCGAGCAATCGTAGACGATCCACCAGCTTGTTAGGATCGGCCCAGTGCACGTAATCGATCGCGTTGTCATTCAATGTCATTGCGTGAGATAATCGCTTTCCATATTTCTTCTTCTATTTCTTGGGTGTGATCGACATCAACGGCGTGATTATGTATTTGTACTTGTATCCCCTGTTGCTCAATAATTGGTCCTGCGAATGATGTTTGTGTTTGTGCGTGTTCGTCGCTAGCAGCATGCTCTTGTACTTGTTCATATCGTCTTCCGTGTAGAGAAGATCGTCGGTACGATCGATTTTCTTAAAAATTAACTCTTAAAGACCGGGTGTACCGGCATATTGTACGCCATCGATAATTATGTTGTCCACATCATTTACGTCGAAACGTTTATTGCCAAACATCAATCCATCCTTGTAGGTAAACGCTGTATACATAATCTATACCGCGCTTCTGTTTATCTTACGCCTCGGGACAGCTTTGACGTATTTTTGATCCAGCGGACCCAAGCCGGTTTGCAACGCCTCTCGACCTTCCGACGTTTGCAGCCGATTTTGAACCTTTGTTGCTAGCGAGTCGTCCGTTGTTTCGAAAACGTTCTCCAACGATTCTATCGTCGGTATGATCGTCGCGAAGTGAAGATTATTAGCTGTACACGATCATGCGATCAATCATTGGATTTACACGGGATTGCGGAACACTCGAACATCTCGCTCGCTTTCTCTCTTCCTCCTTCTTCTCCTCCTCTTTCTTTATAATTCCTCATCCTTCTTTATTAAAATAGAGAAGTCATACCGATTTATGATTATGTACATTTATTGTAAAAGACCATATTTCAAATCGCCCTTTTACAATAATTACTTATTGTCCATGTGAATTTTCTCGAAAACCGAGAAGTCTGGAATATTATCGACATTATAAAGCAACAGAGTTTCGACAATTGTTATTATTTACGGGATCAATTATTTTGCTGAATTTGTTTGGTGACAAATACATTTTTTAAAGTTACATTATGCGATCCGTATTCTCGTATCATTGAATGAAAAAACCTACAATGATATTGAGAAAGCAAAAATGATTTTAGAGTCATTTGTAATTGATTAGTATTTCTATGTACGGTAGACATTTTTTATCGTATAATGTCAATAATCTAGTTCAGTTGACGGACGATGTTCATAACTTTGAACTTTTACGTCCTATAGAACGCCACGATTCTTTTCTTCAACTCCATGTCGCGACTATGGTTGGCGTCTGGGAGACTCGAACGGAGTCTTCTGATAACGGTCTGACAGAACTGAAAAGAGGGACCGGACAAGCTCTGCGAAAACTCGTAAACGCCAATCAACCCGGAAGGAATAACAACCTTAATGCAGGCCCGAAAAGTGACAAGATTGCAAAAAACATTATAAATACACCGAAGTCACGCAATAATAAAAATCTAAGCTTTGTCGTCCCTGATCAACAATTTTATCTTAGGAAAACAGGCGCCACGTCGCGCTTAAAAAATCATAAAACGCATAAGATAACTTACACACAGTAGCGTTATCTAAGATCAGACTCGCGACTGACAATGGTTGCTCTGCACTTAAAACTAGTTGTGCACGATAACTATCTGTTTACTTAGCCATATTTTCCGCGAGAATAACAGAATTCGTCATCCGTCTAGAGCAATCTTGCCTCTTTAAAGAAAAACGTAAATCACTTTTCTTCTCGAAATTCTTCTAACGATGCACTTTAGATTAACAACGATAGGACACTATAAAAATTGTAAATCTCGCGTGACATTGTAACTAACTATTGCATCCTAAACAAAGGGCACAACGCTCTTTTTTCGAGATATAAATAGAGATCCCGCGGAAGCGCAGAGCATCAGTACAAAAGTTAAACTCACCCGGTTCATGTTATTATAGTTCATGTCAGTGAAAAACCATGTAAGTTCGCGTATCTGTACTCGAGTGCATCAAATCATTATTGGGATCAACTGCGGTCAGTGCGGAAAAATCAGGCTACGAGAACCCGCGATAGTCACGTCAGTTCGCATTTTTTACGCAAGTGCAAAGAAAAAAAAGATAAATTGTGGGCAGCAATC